ACTCTCTGCTGCTGGTGGGCCTGTGGGTCAGGCACTGGGCTGCTAACCATGAGGTGGGGTGAGGGCTCCCCACCTTCCCTCCTCAGTGACCTGGGCTGCAGGCCTGGAAGCCCCATGTCCCAGGTGATGGGAGCAGGCCTTCAATGACAGCTGCAAAGTTAGACTCAGCTGTGAGCCCACAGCCAATAGGTGCCCCCCCACCACCACCACCACATACTTTCGAACACACTTCCAGGTCCAAGCCAAGGAGAAAAATAGGGGCTCTCAGCTCAGTCCCCACAGCCCCAGGCTCCCAGAGCCCCCAGGCCCGCCGGGTGTCTGAATGATCAGGGGCTTCTCTGAGCCCCTGCCCCTGAGAAGAACATGAGGCCGTGGAGGGCTGTCCTCGTTGGGGGAGCCCCTGCAGGAAGAAGTGTTTGCTAGCTGGGGCCGGGGCGCCTGGGAAGGAGAGCAGGGCAGCCTGTGCTGACTGTCTCCTGGAGGAAAGTGGTGGTGGGATTAGAAGCCGTGCTTGCTGGGCCTCAGTGTCAGGAGAGGCTGCTCAGGAGCTGGCAAGCATGGGGCCAGATGCCCTTTGGCCAGACTCACACAGACATGCAGGGTGAGTGGACAGAAAGCCGAGGGCCAGGTCATACATACCACACATGTACCACAAGTGGATACACACCACTTCGCACATATATGTACCTATATGCATAACAGCACACGTGTGCACACACATATATACTATGTACATACGCTACACCTACACCACACATACATATACACTGTGTACACACTCATACAACACACACTGTACACACACACATACATATGTACAAATCCACACAGCACACACATACTACACCCACTCACATACACCACCATATTACACACAGGGGTACACTCTCATTTACCACACATACACATGCACACATCACATAACGTATACACACAAACACATGCATGCCCCTACACATATTCATGCCACCCATGCATACATTTGCCACGCACATAAATGCCCTCCATGTCCCACATATACACACCGCATACACACCACACACACACACCCATACCTAGAATAAACACACCCAAAAAAGCGTGCCACGCACATATCCACATGCCGCATCTGCACCGTGTGCACCAGGTGGAACACGAACATATGCACACTACCAACACACATAAACACGCCACAGACACCACATATGTGCACAGCACACACCTGTGAACACCCACTTCTTCCCCATCAATGATTCCAGGTTAAAAACCCAGTTAGGGCACATTTATGTCTCAGTCCTGCCCCACCCGCCCTCTTGCCCCTCAAGCCTGACCCTTCTCTCTGTCACCTTGCTTGGGACCTTGCTGGGCACAGGGCACCATGCAGGGAGGGCGGCTGAGGCTGGGGCTGAACTCACCAGCCAGCTACCATCAAGTCAACCCGACTTGTAGAGGAACCCTCTCCCCGCCCCGCCCCGTGAAGAAAGGGCAGGCGATCTAGTTCCTACACCCATGGGACACAGTCCTCCTCCGACCTTCATGGGAGCCCCCGTGAGTCGAAGCTCCCTGGATGGCCACTGGCTTCCCGGCAGGTTCAGGGCCAGGGAGAAG